TATGTAACTGAATTATTGTAGAATTATGCTGCACGATGAATGGTTTTACAACCCTACTTAGTTAATCTTTTCGAAAGGAAAACAGAGTTCGGAATTTCTGTTGACATTTAATGAGTTAGCCCACTTACTGTATTTAGCGTGTTCCTGGTGATTAAGATTGCCTACGTGCGACCAAATAAAAAGAACTGGAGTTGATCGAAAAGGGAAATTTAGACAGGAACAGTAGCAAGCCCAGTTCTAATTATACTAACTCAGTGTTCATTTGTTAATTCTCGAGTAATTTTAAATCACCAGCTGCATGTGTGGTCAGCATTGCAGAGCCTGTACTGTGCCTTGACTGCCGCGCCGATCATCCTCGATAGGTACCAGTGGTAGATTTCGAATGTCAATTATGCTAATCGAGGTCAAAATCCGCTTCTCGCATAAGCCCTTTCGCGACCTACTGTCAGGCAAACCTTTATGAAGCATACCTAATTAAGTAAGATAGGAAGGTAGGCTTGGGACCAACCACCCAGGGGGTGGGGTTACACACCCAGCCCTTGCCTATTTTTCATTGATCCCTGTCAGTCGTCTTTCAGCGCGTTCTCACTCACCCCAGTTGTAAGTCTGATGGTTTCCCGGCCGGTGATAAGTAGCCGCGAAGACTTCCGAAACAGCAAACTTCCAGTTGTGCACTCGGCTTGAGCCAATCGCGCAAGCGTGTACTTATGCATATGATGCAGGTGTGATAATGACTGAGCCAGCCGGCCTTGTCCATGAGGTTTCATGGCAATTTTGTGTATAGGCAGGTCCTCAACGGCCTCTCGGGCAGTTTCTTCGAGGTTATCTCTTCTTGCGCCTTGGCAACAATGGCAAACAAACTTACTTAATACCGCTTCAGGGCCGCCATGTCACAGTCCAGTCATCGGGCCTTGGGGCATTTTATGTGGCGGTTAACTTGCCAGGCCTCAACCCTCCGCGCCCTGGCAGCACCGTCTTCGCTGGTACATGACTGTGTATTCGTCAAACCCGAAAACTGGCTTATTCCGCAGCTAACCTTCGCTGAAGGCCACGGCGCCCGTCGCCAACCGTTGACGCTCCAAACGGCCAGTAAATAGGCCAACGGGGAGACCGTCTTCCGGAGAAGGGTATACCAACTGGTCATATCGGCTTTTAAATGCACTTATTTTTGACTTCGCACAGAAACCGTACTCGGTAAAAATGACTACTTCAGTAGCATGCATTTTTCACATTGATTTTGGATGGTCTCATAAATTCAAATATATTTTGTAAAAAACATGCACAAACTACGCTTTCTTTTACTTGTTTGGTAGAAACCCACATTTTCTTTGTATTTTATACCCCCAAGGAAGTTTGTCTTTCTGTTTTAAAAAAGTTTCCCATTATGAGACTTTTAAGGCCGTGCAATGTCCATATATACGGCGTCGTACACGTCCGTTTACCAGTGTTCCTCGTGAAGTGTACAACACAGGCCGTATCCATTGCAAAATTTATGAACTCTATGTGGTATCTTCTTATAGGCATAGGGGAATATATGACTTTCCTTACGCGGAACACATGCAACTTGTAGACTGAAATCGTTAAACGCTAATGCAACGGCTTATGAGGCTTAACATTATTCGGGAATTGGAATTTTTTCAAAACCTAAGTATATACTTTGCTCGGGTATATGATGTGAAGACAATGTGATTTTCTACCAAACAAGTAGAAGGAAGCGTATTTTGCGCATGTATTTAGAAAATATATTTGAATTTATAAGACCATCCTAAATCAATGGGAAAAATGCATGCTGCTCAAGTAGTCATTTTTTACCGAGTACGGTTTTTGTTGGAAGTCAGAAAGAAGTGCGTTTTAAAGCCGACATCATGGCGAGTCCGAAATGCTATAGGCTTATGCTACATGGTAGTAATATTACAACGTCATCTTATTAACGTCGCCTGGTCGAAAACGCATTTCAGAATTTAGGACAACATTTCATGAGGTCGGTCACGCACTGTACAGAACTCAACATTCACTGACGAGGAACGGCTGGAATCCCTGGTTGGAACTTCAGGCCATGGCTGTACCCGTCCTACTGAACCTGGCCTGGTGTAAGTTGGATGTGAGCGATGATGCTAAACTTCTTAATGTTCCGTACTTTTACCCTTGCAAATCTTAATGGTAGCCTAGTCCGATGGCCACCGCTCACTTATGGGCTATTTACGAACTGACACCTCCTGAGTCGTAAGACGCTGGTAATTGTAAAATAGCATGTATCCAATTGCTATAGATTTTCTTGTTTTTTATAGATCTTCAATGTAATTCTGCTCGTCGTCGAAGACCACACTACTCAATCATGAACGCAGTAAGAAACTGGTTGAGTTGCCTGCAAAGACAAGTGAAACAAAGTTTGATCAGTTCAAGCCTGTCTAGTTGCTTTAAGCAGGCGCGTCTATCCTTACGCCTTTTAATCTTTCAGGGCCTTATAATGTAAATGGCCGTATGAACCTGACTGCGAATTTTAAGTTCCCTGAGCTTCTAATTTTTTGGTCCATTTGCGCCAAAAATAACCTTTTATGGAAAGACCCGCGAAAGGATAAGATGCTATACAAACTTCGCGAGGATCAGCTTAGAGATGTAAAGATTTTTCGATTTTGTGAGTCACAAAATCATCACAGTCTTCGTCTCTCATTGTTTTTCGAAGGAAATCGTTACGGGAAACTTGGCAGTGTCACTGGATTCAAATCATTTCAAAGCTCTTCCAAGACCAACCTCGACATTGCACTCCCGGTCAATTTTCCGCCTATCGGGAAGTACTAGCCACAACAGTGAGTGGAGACTTGTAACAACCAGTCGTCGAAGGCTGAGCCGTCCTTTGTACCCCATCTAGGTGTTAAAGGAATTTTCTTCAGAAATGAATCTCTTTACTTAGTGAATAACCCGGGTGCGCGCCAAATCACATACTTCGGTTTTTTTAACTTACTGCGTTCTCCAGAGTTCTCGGAAGTAGAATGGGAAACGCAGACGCTGGTGACGGCGAGGGTCGATGTCCCAGGCGGCTGGACCACACGCACGCGACATGCACTTAGATAATGATATATTCCGAGGGGATAATTATCCATTGGGCTTATGTAAACCAATTTAAGATGCCTTTGGCAAAACATGGGCCAGCAAGACCAGCGTGTCGTTCCAGCACTTCGAAGTGAATGCTGAAAGTAAGTGGATAGATATCTAGACTTCACAATTAGAGTTTTAGAATTAGAGTGGAACGTTGACCTCCCACCGAACATCAAAGCAATGTTCATAGAGTAGCCTGGGATTTCATCCGCAAAAATGACATTGTGACAGCTCGACTGTCGCATCCGATGATGTCCACCATGTGTTCCACAGCAAGGTGAAGCAGGCGAAGTGACTTGCGCGTGATTTAGTATATTATGAATGTGGACTTGCGCTGCGCCTACCACACTCTCTTCTCCCCCACCTGGACCCAGTGTTAAGAGAGAGTCAAGAAGACCGGAGGCGGAGGAGGACTAGGTGGATGGCGCGGTCGAACCCGCACCTTGGCGCTCCACACCACACGCCCTGGTCCACACAGCAATTGACCAGGGTTTTTAACCAACAACAGCAAAGGAGGCTGACACGGCCGGAGCCGCACCTAGGCGTGCCGTCACACCTGGCTCGGATACCATGAAGTGGGAGTGCCATGAGGGCCACATTAAGAAGGAGCCATTGCTTCCTGACTCTCAGACCACCAGTCAGCCATTCCACAGAAGCCCACAATGCTGGGCCGGCTGCGGGGTCCAAGATATTCCGTCAGTTGGCAACCTTCCAAGTTATTAGCGCACTGTGAGGGCTTCAAGAGCGTCAGATTGTTTGTAGTGAGGAAAATGCGCTGAGTGGTCAACATCACACTCCCTTCTCATTCTCATGCCCCAGCCACTGTCCGAGCCGGTCAGTTGATAGGTGCGGGGAATGGGCGTGGTGGCTGACATATCTAATGGCCTTGTCTGCGCGCGCCACATGAACGACTTGGCCACCAAATACAAGCATCAGGATTTCACACGAGGGGGGAGTTGAGCGGCGTACATCCCACATGTGTGCGGGTGCCGTAGGTCACGTTACGAAGGAGCTGCTTCAGCTTGGCTCTCAGCCCACCAGTCTGCCTCTCCACACATACACACAACTGGGCAGACTGTGTGGACTGGGTTGGAGCGTCAGTCAGCAGCCTTCCAAGCCACGGCGTCTGACTCGCCATGACAGTCTCAAACTCCAATCATACATGCCGCAGAGGGACTGGATGGAGACGGGGCCGAGACGCACACTTCCCACTTGCGTGGGTGGTGGCAATTGGATCCTTGTGGTGAATAATGATGTTGCGCGATGTAGGTGGAGGAAGATGGGATGGTGTGGATTAGCTGACGGCTGCCCTCCGCAGGTTTTTGTGAATGTGGTGTGTAAATGTGTGGGTGCTGTGAGGGCAGTTGAGGCGGATGCGTCTAGTGTATGTTGTTGCTCCAGGCACTGGTTCGTCAGTCTGTGTGTGATGGACTCACAAGTGACTGACCAGGCGGGTGTGTGAGGCGAATGTACGGTGAGAGTGGGGACAGGAAAAGTCGGCGTTGCCAGTGTCGGTTTCGAAGATGCTGGCAACGGTGAGGCTGTTGATGGTGGACGCGCTGGACGATGGGGTGAGGTAGGCTAGGCATGGTTGGTGTGCAAAACGTGCTGAGTGTGGTGAACATGCGAGGCGGCGGGTTCCGGGTTGAGCTAGGCATAATGCATGTGCAGGAGGTGCTAGGTCTGTCGAGACTGCGGCCAATTCCGCTCTCGTGGATACGCATGTGACTGAATAGGCGCATGCGACGAGTGAATGTGCGGAGGCAGTGTACACAGTGGAAGCAAATGCGGCGAGTGTAGATTGGTGCTCCTGGCACTGATTTGCCAGTCTCTGTACGATGGGTTCACAAGTGACCGACCAGGCCAATATGTGAGGTGAAAGTGCGGTCGCAATGAGGACAGGTATGGACCGAGTATACACCGCTGGTGTTGACTATGGTGAGGTTGAGGCAACGGATGAGGAGGAGGAGGAGGAGGAGGAGGAGGAGGACGGCAGTGGGGGTTCAGGAGTGCGGTCAGTGTTCATTGTTGACGTGGGGAGCGAGGCAGATTTGAACGGCGGGATATCAGGTGGTGTCGTCCGGAGGTGTCCAGTAAGACCGCTTGGTGCCCGGAACGTCCGCTGAAATAGTGGGCATGTTGGGGGCGATTAAGCGTTGGCATTGCGAGGCGGGGACAGTCGAAATTTACGAGCTTCGCGTTTGGCTATGGCGGTGATGATGCGGTTGGCTTCGTGGATTTCCGCCCCGGTTTTCACTGTCCTCCTCCATGTTGGTCTTTACCGAGTGATGTCTTTATAGTTGACCGAGTCGACTTGCAGGCGCTTCAGAGAGGTTTTCAGGATATCTGTGTAGCGGCGGACTTGATCTCCTTGTCGACAGGGACCAGTGGCTACACCGCCATAGACGAGTCGTCTGGACGACCGCTCGTCGTCCATCCGTACGAGGTGGCCGCTCCAGTTCAGTTGCCGTTGTCTTAGCATTGCATAAGTGCTGAAGATTCCCGTCCATTCCAGTACGTCGGTGTCCGGGAACTGGTCCTGCCACCTCAGCCTCAACATCCACTGGAGACAGCTGAGGTTGAAATGATTGAGACTTCGTCCCTGGGTCTTGTACACCGTCCGGATCTCCGTTTCGTACAGCAGCGTCGGGAGGATGACGGCTTTGTACATCTCTAGCTTTATACTGAGCTGGGGACCGTAATGATTCCAAACTGTGGTTTGAAGGCGGCCGAAGGCTTGACTGGCCTTCGAAATCCGGCGGGCGACTTCGTCGTCGATTTTCGTGCTGCGGGAGAGGGTACTGCCCACATACGGGAAGTTTTTCACCACTTGCAGTTGGGTTCCGTTCACACCGATCTGCGGCGCATTGTGAGGAGGGACTGGGTTGGTGGCGTTTGGTGCATGACCACCATCTTCTCCGTGTTAATGACCAGGCAGAAGATGTAACCGGCGGCGACGAAGAGGTCGATGCTCCTTTGTATGCCCGCTTCTGTGGTGGCGTTGAGATCACCGCGGTCGTCGGCAAAGAGAAGTTCATGGACGGAAGTTGCGGATACACGCGACTGAAAGTGCATCCGCCGTCAATAGAAGAGTCGACCGTCCATCCTGTACGCGACGCTGACCTCGGGGTATTCGTCACGGTGGGCATCCACTAGGCACGAGTGCGCAGCCCTGCTTCACTCCGTTGGTCATTCCGAATGCCCCTGATAAGACTCCATCATGCAATAGTAGGACTGACGTACCATGTGGGTGAATCGTTCGGGACAGCCGAATTTCTAAATGACCTTCCACAGGCCTTTGCGATTCACTGTGTCGGAGGCTTTCGTCAGATCCACGAAATTAGAGTAGAGGTGGGTCCGAATCTCCTGACACTTCTGCTGCAGTTGACGGCCCGCGAATATCATGTTGGTGGTTCAACACTGGCTTTCTGACAGGCGACCCTGCTCCAGATGACTGCTGAGACGGTTGAGAAGAATGCGAGCGAACGCTTCCCTGGCGATGTTGAGCAGGGAGATGCCTCTGTCGCTGTCGCAGATTTAGCAGTTATCTTTCCAATTGTAGAGATGGGCGATTATGGCGTCCTTTAAGTCCTGCGGGAATTGCCATTGACGCCACAGCTCCTGGAAGAGCGCAGTCAGATGACACATGAGTTGAGGGCCACGGTTTTTGTAGATCTCAGCAGGGATCGCGTTCGATCGGGGCGCTTTCCCGCTGGAGGGCTGCTGCACGGCCCTGATACTTTCATGGAGAGATGGCTCGAGGTCGAGATCGGAGTTGGTCTCCACCTGAAGCAGACGGGCGATGGCGGCGTCGGAGATGGCGGAGGGGCGGTTGAAGATGCTTCTGAATTGTCCGGACCATCGTAGCAAAATTTGTGTCTTCTAAGTAAGTAGGGTACTGCCGTCGGCGATGAGAAGAGGAGCAGTAGTTTTGGCTGTGGGACTATAGACAGCCCTGGTGGCGGCGAAAACGTTCTCCCATTCCTTGCTGTCGGCGTATCCTTAGATCTCCTCGGCCCTGCGAACTGTCTAGGCTTCCTGCATCTCCCCTAGTCGCTGTTGAACAAGGCGTCGACTACGGTAGAAGGCTGCTTTTTTTCCGTCGGGGAGGCTACTGACGTAGGCTTTCTGCAGATTATTCTTCTCGGCGAGCAGGTTGCTGATGACGGCGTCGTTGTCATCGAAGCAGTCCTGATGTTTGCGACGTGTGCGAACGAGGACAGCAAGAGCCGTCGACTGGACTGTGTACCTCAGTTGATACCACTGGTTCTCCACGGAGACGTTCTCCTCAGTGGCGGCAGCGTCAACTGCGGCTGGAAGGCTGGCTAGCCGTTGAGCTGGCTCGTTGCTGAAACGGAGACGGTGAGCAAGCAAAGACAACAAGGCAACATTCAGCTCACCTGGGGATTGCTCACCTTCAGGTGTCCTGCGAGGCTGTAGGCGAGTCCGCATCTTGGAGATGAAGAGGCGATTGTCGGGCCAATAGTCGGCATCCAGGGTCACCTTTGCCACCAGCACGTTCCGCTGATCTCGCCTTCATCAGCATGTCCTGCTGGTCTGGCCTCCGGACGAGATCGTAGTCCAGCAGGTTCCAGTGTCGCGATTGAGAGTGAATCCAGATGGCCTTCTCTTGCGTCGGGATGCGGAAGAAGGTTTTGGTCAGGATGAGGCGATGTTCTGCGCAGGTTCGTAGGAGGTGCAGGCCATTGTCATTGGAGCCGTCAAGACCATGGAGACTCAGCACTCATCTCAAGACAGCATGTTCTATGCCGACGCGGACGTTGAAGTCACCAGGGACAATCAACTTCTTCGCCTGCGACGCACTCACTAGGAGGGCGTGCAGGTCCTCGTAGGATTAGTTCCTCTCCGCGTCAGGGGTGGTCATCGGGGGGACGTAGACGCTGAGGATGGTGATGAATTTGCCTCCCAGACGGAGTCTCATAAGGCGATTGTTGATACCTGGCTGCAGACAGTCTCGCTTAGTGCAGCGATTTCCATCTTGTGGCGCGCTAGTTCCCGAACCATTATCGCCGTCCTTGGTTCCGGTCGGTTGCTCCTGAGATTGTCTAGAAGGGAGCGAACATTCCAGGCTGCCAAAGTGAGCGGACTCACCCTGCCAGTCTGGTGACGACGAGTGGGGCGACGAAAAGGAGGTGGAGAAGAAGATGACGGAGGAGAAGAATAGGCAGAAGAGTAGGCAGAGGAAGAGGAAAAAGAGGTAGGATGAGGAGGTGAGCGACGGTCAGCGCGCAGAGGATGTGATGTCGGCATTTATAGTCCCGATCCCCTCGCGGGGTGAGCAGTGCTGTCCCTGAATAGGGCTGCTCAATTGTCCCAGACAGCTGCCGGACCCCACTGTGGACCACGACTTTGTTTACTGGGAGAAAGACCCGAGTTAGCCTGCGTCGCCTACGTGATCGCTGTCGCTCTCATCGTAGGACTTGTGGGTGTGGGGAGAGGGGAGGAGGATGAGGGAAGAGTAGAAGGACGGAAAGCAGAGTTTCCCGTTCCTCGCTAATCTACCTAGTTGCTGAAATGTAAACGGTGAGCAACCAAATTCAACAGAACGGTATTTATCTTACAACAAGGACACACCTAGAAAAGCAGACAAAGGCAAGCAAGCAAGAGCAAGCAGAAATCAAAGGCAACAAAGCAATATTCAGTGGTAGATGGGTGGTCACTTAACTTGTGGCCTCCCTCGGGTTTGCAGACGAAGTCCGTTCTTGGAGGTGGCGATGCGACGATCTACTGGACTTTCGACCGTGGGGCAAGAAAGAAGAGTGGAGCGGACGTAGAGATAGTGAGGGGCGGAGGAGGAAGGCAAAGAATAGGTGCGAAGAAGAAGAAAGGGGGCGGTATTCCAGTCCCTGGGTCAGTAGCTTGTTGAGTGCTTGTGGCCTTCTGCGGGGTTGCAGACAGAGCCTCATTTCAAACACGCGGAGACGTTGATCCATCCCGCCAGCGGTGGTGCGAGCGGAGCCGAGCTACCGTGTGTGGAGATGCAAACACTAAAACCCTCACCTGGTTTATCCCGCCGGTAGAGGTGGTTAGCGGGATAAAGCCGCTAGGCACAGCAGTGATGAAGAGACGCGTGACGGGTTCTTTCATTTGCAGTCTGGCCCGGCCACAAACAGCAGAGTACGACAAAGGGAATACGAAGCGAGGGCTTACCCACAGACGACTCGACAGTGAGGAGACGCAAAATCATGTTGTCGTCAACGTCTTCATCCGAAGATTGGGTGGAGGAGCGGTGCGATGTCCGGTTTCCAGCCGCAGGACGCCATGTCCACAAATTGCGCTAAATTGCACAGTTTGATGGAACCCAAACTTGAAGCTAAGGCCTCCGAGGTTACAATAAGTCGGCTCGCCCCCTCAACGCCCCATGTGCAGCTGCTCGATGGAATAAGCAAGCCAACTGTTCTATAATGTCATATGATCTGTTGATCTCGGGTATGGAACTGAGTTGGGGAAAGTCGTCTCTATGTTCCTAATGCTGAGTACAATGCATAAAATTCGCCGACTGTATTGTCAGCCTGAGAGAACCTCGAGTCACCTGCCTCATCTTTGGTACTGAAAAAATAGTCTGCGCAGGGGACGGGTCGGAAGAAAATAAGAACCTCGGCGCAAGAAAATGCCCACGAGTTCTTCAAAATCTCGGTTTCCCTGTGCTTTTCATCAATTTCAGCATACATAACGTAGTTGCGATTGTGAGTTTAACGTTTGATGAGAAAAAATTCCACACAGAGGTTATAAAACATCGAGCGACCAATGCACCAGTGTCCAGAGGAGACGGCAAACAACTATAAGACTAAACAAAAGGAGAAAGGCACGGTCATAAGTTTACACAAAATAGGCAACAATGGAGGTCGCAGACACTGTGCGCACGGAGAAAAGCAAACATCCTTATGAGGTCTACGCAGGGCGCCTGTGGTGCTTCAGTAAAGGGCAACAATAAGGAGTGTGTGCTTAGGCAAAACTCAGAAAGTCAAGTAAAACCGATACCGCCACATGCAAATCGTGTGGAAACAAATACTTGGAGAAAACCATTGGCAGGCGCAGACGCAGCAAGCTCCATTAGTCACAAAAAGCACAGAGGCCGCACTACCTTAGTCAATGAAGTTTGTTTTTGAAAGCAAAAATCGGGCCAAACTCCTCCAGCTGGTTCTTGACGCGTTTCTCACCCAACATATAAAGGTGGACACGAGATTCCGAGGTGGCCATCAGTTCAACCGTCCTGACCTCATCTCTATCATATATGAAAGTAACATTCTCTTTTTATGTCCCCACATGACTCTTTGTCGCATTGGCCACTATGGCACTAGTGACCTGTTATGGAATGTAGTTACTTCTCCTTAACGGAAACTTGAACGGCAGAAGAAGCAAGTATATGAATATGAGCTGTTTCCGTGATTAATGGGAGTTGTGGGAGCGAGATGAATTGAAAAAGGACACTCTGGTCTGATTCGAACATTGATTACTTTCCATTATTCTGTAGAGAACAGTTGTCCACGTTTGTAGTGATGGCACGTCCCTCGATCTCAGTCAGAAACTTCTGAAATAAAGGGAAATCTCAAGAGGGAAAAGCGACTTTGTCAAAAGTACGCCACATGTTCACGATCCGAACATCTGTCTAATGTTAAGAACTGGCAAAAGTGCCGGTAAATGCATTAAACAGGCCGCGTCGTCCTTGAGCCCATGCTAATCAATAAAACTCCCTGTGACCCTTAAATATTCCGGTTTTGTGGACTAGGTGACATGAGATCGGGACTCCGTTACCTTTCTAAAGGACAGTAGGGGGAATAACTTAATTGATAACACAGAAATAAAATACGTGCTTAGTCGCTTTTCCAATTCCATCTATGACTACCGGTTTTGATAGAAATACTAAGTGGCTTTAGAATGGTTACCCACTGATATGGTTGCGGGTTATCCGAGTCTGATGTTGAGGTATTGCTAGATGACAAAGGCAGATAAACCAGAAGTGGTCGTTTCGGTCTCCTTTGCCTTTGTTGGTATCTATTCTACTTTACTACTGGTCACTAAACGACTGCCCTCGAGGACTCTAGTTTGACTCCAAGGCACAACGGAACGAGTATATTCCGTACCGTTTACACGTCGGTAAACGATCCTCTCATGTAATTGAAGTGGTATGCACTCCAAGATGATATGGTGAAAAAAGAGGAGGCTGTGCAGAAGAATCGAGTTGGTGTCGGGGGTCTTGGTTATGGTGTGTGGTGATATAGGGGTAGGGGGGAGTCCAGATGGCCTTCCTGTAAACAGTTGTTTTGGCTTTCTCATTGCTTTTCTTGCAGCCAAGTACTTTTAAAAATGGCAGTCAACAGTCTTTCATCTTTCATCGTGGGCTGGGTGTCTGGAGAGACCGATTCCAGCTACTGGGTGGATTTCGCGATCTCACATCCACTGGTGATGACAAATGTTCCATCAACACACCGTACATATATATGTATATATATGACCACTCTCCAAACCTCATCCTTCTGGGTGCTCAGCAAGCCGATTTGTAACCTTTATTTGAATAAGGCTATCCGGTGAGTTACCACAGTGGCTTAACTAATGTCGATGCCCATAAACGGCCTAGGCCTTCCCTAACAAGGTTGCCTCCTCGGAGCTCACCCATGTGCATCATCCTTCTTTCTTGGTCCTGGAAAATTAATTACTTGGGTCAAATGACTTAGCATATTCCCAAGCAGATTCGCGAACAGCGTCCAGTTTGGCTCAGTCAGGAAGCCACCAGGTGTGCCTGATGTTCCTTCCTGGCCCATTTAACGGACACTGGCCGTCACAAAACACCAAGCCTACCTTCAGAGTTTTATTCAGGGCGCTGACGAACCGGTGCCGCGTCATGCTAGCGACGGCGGCGGCGGCGGCGGCGGCTGTGATAGCCATTCGCATAGACAGCCTTTTCTATGTTCACAAAACGGGGTTTGCCTTGGCTTTCCCCGTCTCAGAACCAAAATCGACCCCACAGCGCCACCAAATAACACGGAAGGCCTCTTTTCAGACAGTGTGCCCCGATACCTGGTTTGACGGCGTCCTATCCATTCCAGCCTCCTCTAAGAGAGCAAGGTACATAGCCTTCCCTCTTTCTCATTCTTTTGTTTTGTCACAATGTCTCGCGAAAAAAGCAGTCATTTCCCATTTTTTCTGCTTTGTCTTTACCACGACGCTTTGTTTAGTCAGTCACGCAAAAACCTGGATGCGCACAACCAGACCCTATTTACACACGTGCTCATGTGTCCTCTTCAGGGGTCTTGCCAAATGTCTGTTCATTAACCAGGTTGTTTGCCCTGGTCAAGTTGACTACCGCATTGTCGCAAAGTGGGTCAATAGTTCGGTCACTTAGCGAACAACAGCACGCGGCGCATCCGCGGCCAACGAAAGCAGTCACTGACGAGAGGGCTTGTATAACGGCTTTCTATACGGAATCTGCTAGAAACTTTGGTAGGGTCACTCAGCGATTCAATTTCTGATACTGAAGCAGGTTAGTCACTCGTAGTTCAGGCACCGTCTACGGTTTAGCGGGGGGATCCACGCACATCAACTAAAGACGTTGGTATTTCGGCTGTTTTATTAAAAAATACGGAACAATGCATGGACGCTCTAGGGTGTCAGTCTCACATTCCATGGTTTCAAGAGATGCGTAGGGTGATGCGTGATATTGTAGCTAGATTTAAAACTGATTTAGGGTCAGAGTTGGACTATGTCGTTGCCGTCAGCCATCATGACCACGCCTGGCGTCTTTGGCCCCGGCCCCGTCACCTTCACCTTCACAGCTAGCGGTTACAGACTCGCTGGCCTGCAGCCACTCGGACGCACAGAGTCGCAGCTGTCTGACACTTCGACCGTCTCATCCGACGATGTCCGCCGTGCGCTCCACTGCAAGGTGAGGCAAGCACAATGACTTGCGCGTGACTTATTTTATAGTGAGTGTGGACTTACGCTGTATCTTACACATTCTCTCCTCCTCCCCCACCTAGACGCGGTGTCAAGACAGGGTCAGGAAGACCGGAGGCGTGGGGGGGGGGAGGGCGCAGGTGGGTGGCGCGGCCGAACTCGCATGTTGGTGCTCCACTACACCCCCTGGTCCCCACAGCAACTGACCAGGATGTTAACCAACAAAAAAACAACACCACGAAGGGTCAGAAGGAGGAGGATGACTAGGCGGCCATGCTCACGGCCTGTATACCTAGCGAATCACAAGCGTATCTACCGGCAGGGAACCAGGCCTTGGAGAACTTCCAGCGCCCAGTAGGCTGAGAGGGCCATAGCTTGCTGATCATGGTATAGCAGACGCTTAGAGACCTTTAGGTCCAAATAAAAATATGGAGCTCTTCATGATTTTGCGTGTCATCCTTACGCAGGGGCCATGCTAATCTTGTCTGTATCGTCCGAATTTTAGTATATGTACCCCCGAAGCAGCTGCCTGTGCGCCACTTGAACACACCACGCCCCTGGGGACACAACATAGGTTAATTAAACACCATCCATTGACAGATACAACATTAATTAGACACCACTTCAGCTTGCCCCACAAACCCACAAAAGCGGCTGCCCCCACTGTCTCACTTACTCGAAGACATAACTGGACACAGACAACACTAGTCCTGGCTTCCCCAGCGGCCACTGCCGCTTGAGGGAACAATTCAGGGTTCTGTACGCAATAAACTCTCGTTCTTGTGCCTTCTATCTTTTCCTACAACTCGGGATTTGGCTTGATGATTGTAGTGCCCTGAGTATACTATCGTGGCTCAGGTGCTACAATGTTAACAGCTTGCGCTTTCGAAGTCGTGATTTTTGTGATTTTGCGTGTCACAGAGACTTGGAGCCTCGGTGAACAATGTCCCGGGGCTGACAACAAGTGTGCGTAACCATTTTCTGATAACAGTAACAGTCAGTATGCGGATTCTAGCAACAGTATGGTAATTATTTGTGCCCGAGATGAGGCTGCAGCAGTCCATCAGAAAGCGCTCACAACCTGGTTAACGGACAGGCCTTTGCCCAAAGGACCATAATGGACACTCGGACGCACACACGCACGCGTTTATGTGCACATAGGCGCTTTCACTCATGCCGAGTGAGAGAGGCGCGCGCGACCGCCTACCCTTGTCCTACTCGCCTGCTTGTTATTCTGGAGACCTAATCCTGAATGTTTCAAAACATACGCTGACCTAGACTGGCCCATGTAATGTGGGTCGGTCACCAGTTTGGGACGCATTTGGATTAACAGAAGCAGATCGCGTGTATGCGCATATACCCTTTACCGCGCCTATTAGGGCCAACCAAATGAGGGAGAGAGAGAGAGGATTTCGCTTAATTTCGAAATTGTAAATCCAAAATTTTCAACAGAAATGGCCCCATTCACTGTGAACAGAAAATAAGTTAATAAATTAACTCAAGAGTCAAAAGTTTTACACAAACGGGGAGGGCTATTATGGGAACAGTCCAAGCCATAGTTTCTGCATTTCTATCTCTTCACACGTAAGATAGCGTTCCAGGAATGGCAATACTGAATGTTCACAAGAGATAAATCGAAGACCACGATGCATGGGATAGGAAGACTTCGCGGAGATTAATTCAGAATGCGAGAGATGGGCAACGTCATCCACAATTCGACCAGCAAATTGCTTGACCGATGTGAAACACCGTTGTAGGATAATATCCACTAAAGAGAGATAAGAAACGCCGGCAGCAGAAGAGAGCATTCGGAGGACTCGTTTTAAAATTAGCAGATGTTTTGGAGCAAAGCCGAAAAAATGACAGGAGAACAATAAAGAATAAGAGGAAGAATGCAGACATCTACGAATCGCCAGATCAAGGGTTGAGGCCTGTGGTTGGGACGTAAACGACGAATGCAATAAAGAAGTTTGCAAACTTTAGTAAAAAGGGACTCAATATAGAGGAAAAATGAAACATTTGATGACAAAGTAACACCAAGCTACCTGAATGAGGATACCTCTTGGGAAGGATGTCCAAGGAGTCAGAACTAGGAGAGGGCCGCTGTCGGAAAATACACTGAACTGATTTTGGATTGTTCATTAGAAGACCATTTTCCTGCGACCATACTTAGACATGGTCAAGGTCATCCTGCAGAAACTGGGAATGTTTCCGATTTCTGCGAGAGTATCCAACAACCACATCATCAGCATACTAAGCCAATAACCAGTACTTTGAATATCTTAGATCATCAGTGCAGATGGAGAAGAGGTGAGAGGACAAAATGGAACCTTGAAGAACTCCACAGTCATTGGAAAGGGCCGTGGATTTCTGCCTATCGAACCGGACGACTTTAGTGTGGGAAGTAGAATAATCGTCAAGCCAAGATACAACCCAGCCTAGAGAGCCGCACGCGGATGTCCTGGTAAGTAGAAGGGGACGCGGGATGGTACTGAAGGCGGAGGAGTAGTCAAGAAAAGCACAAGCGCTTAAGCGGCACAAGAGTAACAGCATCTAAGGCACTAGGTTTGGCTGTGTATGCAAATTGTAAAACTGAAACAGAATGGCTTTGTAATATTCAGGGCAACTCGTTCAGCAAGCTTTAGTAGTGCGAGAGAATTACGCAAATTTTGAAGCGCTGGGTCTAACACTTCATAAGTATCCTAAACCGCCCATCCACGATCTCCGACACCGCCATCGATCGGCTCCTTCAGATGGAAACGAACGGCGACCTGGATCTCCCGCCTTCACTCATAGAAGCCATCAGAGTCGTGCAACAGCTCTCCAGCTAGGAAGCACTGAAATCGGATGCAGTACCAGCTGAAGGTTACAAGCATGCCGGCACCCGGCAGACAGGCAGTTTTGCAACGATAGTTCAGGAGGCGTGGCGCCGAAAACAAGTTCCCCCGAATTTCAAGGATGCCACCGTCGTCTATCTCCACAAACGGAAAGGCAACCAGCAAATCTATTATAATCACAGGAAATCTCGCTATTCAAAATTGCCAGAAGGATCTTCTCCCGCATCCTTCTCGAACGCCTCGAAGGCCATCTGAAATACAGGCTTCTCTCGAAAAACCGGTGTGACTTCGGACGACACTGCGGAATCACTGACATGGTTTTCTCCGCCGTCGCCAACTGCAGGAGAAGCAGCAGAAAGTGCACACAAACCTCTACACTAGCTTTGTGGGACTGATCAAAGCCATCGACAGGGTGAATTGCGATTGTCTGTGAAAAATCATGTGGAAATACGGTTGTCCTGAACGATTCATGTACAGGTGGGCTAACTCGGGAAATGTCAGCCTAAATTCCGAAATGCGTTTTCGTCTCGAAAAGATTGATTAATTAGGGTTGTAAAACCAAGCATCGTGCAGCATAATTCTATGACAATTCAGTCACCCTAGGACGCCGGCTTTCGAACTAACTTCCTTACGGCTGCACGAAAAAAACTATACTCTGTAAAAAAATGACTACTTAAGTAGAATGCATTTTTCAATCATTTTTGGTGCCCTTAAAGAATCAGACATATTTCCTGGAAAACATGCATAAAAATATTCATTCTTTTGCTCATTTGGTAGAAAATTACGTTTTCTTGCAATATTACGCTCGAAGGGGGGTGGTATAATCTGGTTTCATAGAACTTCCAATTCCCGTATAATTTTGAATCCGACTTGCCGTTACACTTGCATTCAGGGATTCCTAAACTACAAGCCGTATAATTTCCGCGTACGAAAAACCATACATTTCTCTACGGTACTAAATGGGAACCATATGGGGTTCATAAAATATAGCAGTGGATTAGAGCAATACCGTTAACTTTACAAGCCACATTGGTAAATGCAGAGACATGACGTTTTATGAACGGCTATTTCACTGTATTAAAAAATCTCACAGTTAGAAACTTTTTAAAATCGACTTAAACCCTTCCTTCGAATAAAAAATTGGAATAGAACGTCATTTTACACCAAATCAGCGGAGAATGAATATTTCTATGCATGTTTTCCATGAAATAGAATTGGATTTTTAAGGGCGCCGAAAATCAACGAAAAAAAATCACGCTACATGAGTAGTAATTTTTTTCAGAGTGTGGTTTTTGCATGCAGCCGGAAAGAAGTTCGTTCAAAAGCCGACATTTTGAGGTAGGTGGAATATTATAGAATTATGCTGCAAGATGATTAGTTTTACGAACTTACTTAATTAATCTCATTGAGACGAGAGCGCATTTCAGAATTTTGGTTTACAGTTTATGAGTTAGCCCACCTACTGTACATGGCGCCTCAGCTTCACGGCGGGATGATGGCGCGCGTCGCAGACAATGGGACGGTCTCAGACGCATTCACACTGACCAAAGGAGTGAAGCAGGGCTGCGTCCTCGCTCCCAATCTCTTAAGTCTCGTGTTCTCTGTCATGCTGATTGACGCCTACCGTGATGAGCGTCGCAGGATCAGCATCATCCGCAAGACCGACGACCACCTTTCCAATACCCGATACAGGCTGTTGCCGACGCGTCCATCCAAGGATATTGTCCAGGGCCTGCACTCCGTGGACGACTGAGCGCTCAACATCGAATCGGAGGCTGGCATGCAACGGACCATGGACTTCTTCGCTGTCGGCTGTACACTCTCCAGGCGGACAATCAATATGGATAGAACGATGATCATGCACCAATCAGCGCCGAACATGGATACAATGATCCTCGCGTCTACGTGAACGGAATACAACTGAAAGCCATGGACATACTCGCCCATTTAGGTATCAAAGTTGATGACAGAGTTGCGCACCAGATTTCCAAAATAGCCAGGCCTTTGGCCAACTGCAAGCTTCCGTCTGGGACTGCCATAGTCTCCATCGCAACACCGAACCCGAGGTGTACAAAGGTATCATCTTGACAACACTCGTGTACGGAGCGAGGACCAGAACATTTTAGAAGAATGGAGCGCGGAAACTCAACCGCTTCCACTTCAGATGCCCTGAAGAACACTGAAGCTGGGTTGGCAAGACAGGATCCGGAACACAGAAGTCCTTCAGAGAACTCAAATCCTCGCCACTCAAGTCATGCTGAGGTAACTGCAACTACGATGGAGCAGCCACCTCGTGAGAATGGACAAGGAGAGACTCTTCTACGGTGATGTCTCTGTGGGCGCTCGTTGATAATGCATCAATAATAACGATGCAAGGACATTCTGAAAACTTCTCTCACGTCCCTGCAAATAAACTCAGGTGATCTGCGAGGACCTCGTCTAGAACAGACCACTCGAGAGAAGAGCGGTGAAGACTGAAACATCAGTCTGCGAAGCCAACCATACCAAAATGACGACTCGTAAGCCTCAAATGCCCCCGGCCCATAACTCCAACACTCAACCTCTTCTAACATGTCCACGCTGTCAACGAACAGTCCTCGCATGGATCGGTCCCATTGGACAGCACAGGACCCAACGCAACAAGAAACCTCACTATTTGTCCCCTCAAACGCCTCCATCATCCAACAGCCACTACCCTCAGCATCAGCAATGCGGACTTGATCCTAACCTGTCCTCATTGAGATCGCACGTTCACCTCACGAGTAGGTCTGGTCAGTCACTTGCGAATTCATCGCACAGAGGCTGACGAGCCAGTACCGGGTGCCCCGACATAAACTCGTCACACCCATCCCCACTGTCCGAACTGTCCACGCACGTTCAGTCACCACCTGGGCCTATTCGATCACATGCGTATGCATAACAGCGGGATTCGCCACAATGTCGACATTCCAACCACAACCTGCACGCTCAAAACTCTAGCATGTCTAGATCTGACAACTGCCCCTTCAACAACGTTGCCACCACTAGCAACAGCATCACCGTTGCACCAACCTAGCACATGTGCTTTGGCTTAGTCGGTCACTTGCGGACCCATCGCATAGAGACCAGAGAACCAATGTCTGGAGCACAAACATAAACCCGGATTAATAACCCACACCGGCCACGCGCATTCAGTCACCGCATGCGCCAGTTGGGCCACACGGGCCCACACGAATATCTGCGGCAAACCAGCGCAGGCCAAACACCATTGCCACACGGTTCCCCATCAACACTCAAACACCACACATGGACCCGTCCGACATCACATTCCGTAAACACGGAACAGCCACATCTCATGTACAGTAGTCAGTCTATCTCATGAAATATCAACCGAAACGCGGAAATGCATTTTCGATTGCGAAGGATTACTTAAGCATGGTTATAATAGTGACTATCCTGCAACAAAATCTTGAGATATTTCAGTCACAGAAGAATGCTGGTTTTTAAATGAACCCCCTTCAACTGTCTGCAGAAACTACGCCTGATTAAAAATGACTACTTGCTTAGTATGCAATTTTACGCTGACTTTTGATGCCCTTATAAATTCAAGTAAACTTCATAGGAAGCATGCTAAAAAAATAATTTTCGTAATACATTGATAGCAAATTACGTCTTCTTCAAAGTTCACGCTTAAAAAAATACTTACAGGCTCTACAAACTTTTCGACTTTGAAATCAGTTTATTTTTCCATACCGATACTGTTTTGCCCATTCAAAATTAATTTCTGCACTCTTCGTAGCACCACTGAATAGTACTTCGGACAAACTTCAGAATTTCACCAATAAAAAATTTTGCACAAACGGCGAGTCTCTACCTGCGTACACTGGGTACCTTACCGACGCCACTACGGACATACGTGAAATCCGAATTTCGTTTAGGAAGAAGCGAACCACTTACTGAAAATGTAAGATTCCGGACGGATTTTAATCTTTGATAGACAACTAGGACGTCCCCCAGATACTTTTTTCTGACGCCCCCATTGCTAGCAACTTTCACAAACTCGAATATCTGATCAAAAACCTCAAATCCGGATTGATAGGCGCTGCCTTTAACCATATAAAAGAATCGGGAGAATATCTGAGCTTCTTAGAACAAAGTATTACTGTCTTTATCTTCAGTCCTATGTTCATACAAGAATGGGTTCGAAAGAAAAAGGGACGTGCATGATTTGATACCCTTTGTTACCATTTAAAACCCACACTGTGACGATGCGGAGAGGGAAAGTTCCTAGAAAGGCTCTGTATGTCCTCCTGGATGTGAGGTAGTTAAGGCTTAAGTGTCTTGACTGACCGGTGAGAGGCAGATCATGCATTTCAAAGTTCAACAGGAATGCTTATGACGCGGGTGAGTGGTATCCCAAAAAGGGAGCCTTTTGAGCCATTTTGTTCATACGGTGAAGAGGATCACTTGAATGTCCCCTGAAGATAGAAATGGCAGTCAGGATTCCTCTTGCGTTCCGCATCATTAATCCGAACCTCCAGCATTGTTGTATGGTTCTAAAGCGGCATCTTTTAAGAACTCTGTGGACGGCTCATGTTCGCGCTCTGAGCTTTCAGAACTCCCGCCCAACTGTGCGGCATTGAACTTTCGAGCAATCTCACCCGAGGTTTGTCCATGTAAATAACTACTGGATCAATTATCAGCTCAATGTTTACTCTCGTCGATTTGGCTCTTTCGCTGGTTTCACCTTTGTCCGTCCCCATTTCGGCGGGCTAAGTGAAAGCTACCGCCGTCACGCAGGACACTGACAGTCGGCCCACTGCAAGAGCGCAATGGCAACAGCCGTCGCCTTGGCGACTCAATCTGAAACGAACGCCGCACCATGTAAGCGCTGTCAACAACCTGTTTGGTGGACAGGAATTTTTCCAGGAAACTGAAGTGCACCCATACGCACTTACAGCTTGGTGAATGCTCACCCAGCTCATTGTCAAGAGACCTTTGAGATATAGATAACAGGGGTGGGCCAAGTTCTTCGATCAAAATCTCGGACTTTAGGTTTACCTGTCCTTGTGACAAACATTTTTCCCTCAGAGCTTCTCCCTTTTTTCAGCCACGAACAGACCTCGAGAACAAATATTTCATTGGTTGTAAAGGTCACGGAGAAAAGTTTTCTTTTAGGAAGTTGAATCATTCTAGATCGAGTTTCATGGTTTTGCCGAAATTCGTGTCAAGTTCGGCTATATATTTCCGTTTATATCTGCATCCTTAAAATTCGGATTCAAGTTTTGGAAAGTTTCCAGTTGATATAGGAAGCATTCGATTTGTGTTTTATTCATAAATATATTACACTCTCAATAAGCATTTGGGTGAAATGATGTTCCACGTGTCAAACAATAGACAGCACGACATTTATTTTTCAGCCATAGTCCCTCGAATCCTTTTTAAGTACAAGCCGAACAGATGACGCGCGGTGTTTGTTTGTCGCACCCTTGAAGCCTACTGAAAGAGAGCGTCTGAAAACATGGTAACCTTTCTTTTCCGGATTTACATGAAATAAGAATAAGGTTAGTAGTAATAATGCTAAGGGCATAAATTACCCAGGTGTTGAAGTAGTTATAGGATGTAGTTGGCAGGCCGCTACATGCCTATCGCAGTTGGCCGCTCCAAGTGTATGGCGGCTCGACTGGTCAGGTGTTGAAGTATGCAATTGCCGTGCAGTTGCTATGCCCTTGTGTGCCGGTCAAGATTGCCGATTCCCACCGTAAATTCAAACAGTACAGTCAATTCGTCAGCACAATTCTTGGAGAAACTCAAAGGGGTAAGCCTCCTGCCAAGCGACGTCATGGTATCCTTTGATGTCACGTCCCCTTTCACATCTATTCCGTAGGACATGGCAGTCGAGACCATCGCACTAGGCCTAAGAGACAAATAGGATGAAACGGAGAATCGCCTTGGACACGCCCAAATCCTCCAAATTCTGCCATTCTGTCTCAAGACGTACTTTACGTTCGACGGAACAATCTATGGGCAGGTGAAGGGCACGCCAATGGCTTCGCCGATTTCGGGACTCATAACCGAGGCGGTCCTACAACGGTTGGAGTCGCTGGTTTTCCAACACCACAGACCGAAATTCTGGACTCGGTATGTGGATGACACCTTCGTCGTCATCGGACGGGATCGGGTGCTGACGTTCAAAGAACAATTCAACGCCGTCTTCCCGGACATTCAATTTACGATGGAGGAGGAGGAAAACAATCAGCTGGCCTTTCTGGATGTCCTCGTCTGCCGCAAAGATTGTGGTGGCCTAAAAACCGAAGTGTCCAGGAAAGCGAAAAATACGACGCAAGTACAGAACTTCAATAGCAACCACCCGATCAGTCACAAACGCAGTTGAGTAAGGGCGCTATACCGGCGCGTTGAGACGCACTGCAGTTAAATGGAAGACAAGGTTGCTGAATTACAATACCTTCGACAGGTATTCAAAGCCAATGGCTACCCGGACAACTTCATCAAACTGTGCCTGCGCAAACGAGACGAGAGAAAAGTCCAACCAACCCCAAATTTTGGCGAACCCACTCGTTCGTGAAGTAAGTCTCAGAAGCCGTCAGCCGCCTTCTCACACCCCTTGGAATTGAAGTCGCACACAGACCGGCAAGAAATATCTGAAGACGTTTAGCGTTTCTGATGCAGCTGTGGGCAAAGCAACTATGTCAGGGAAACCGGATGACTACTGCGGACGCGGTTGGTCGAGCATGCAGCAGCGGTGAGGAGGAAAGACGCCAGCTCCCAAGTTGCGGCTCACTCGACAGGATCCGACCAAACATTCGAAAAGAAAAGGGGTACTGGTAGACCCCGGTTAATGGGGCTACCAGTTAAATTGATCAGTATCCCTTTCGGCGAAAGCTGAAGAGTAGAAACGGATCGTATGTATTTTTGCGAATTCACTCCACCCAATAGGTGGAGTTCCTGATTTTTCCAAGTCAGGATTCAGGGAGAAAAATCTGGGAGGGCAGCCTACATAGTAAATACGGGCAAGGATAAGGTCAAATGGCTGGAATTTGAACCAGATGGTGACATCATAAGGGACTAGGAGAGCACTCCAGCGAAATGCCCATGGTTTTGCTGGTGGGTCGTTCAGTGCGATAACCTGACTATTGAGGGGAACCAAAGCAGGAGCAGAGCGCACAGCGGTAAATGCTTGAGGGTGACGGAAGAGCAAGTGCTTTAGTGCCCATTGAGAAATTTGTGTTCGGTAATTGGCCCACCTAACTATGGTTACTCATATCATGTATTCGTGCCGCCTGTCTGCACTCAGCCAGGCGGGAGGGCAGGGATTTAACAGTGGCTGCCAAAATTGCCCTGTCACACCAAGCAAGAAGTCAACAGCCGAACATTAATCACCACCGGGTGACCGGACGGTGGAGGGAAGTACGGTTACGGGTGTCTGCAATTACAGCCCCGATATGAGAGCAAGAAAGGATTGGAGTGCAGAGGAAATTGTATGAAATGAGTCAGAAAACATGCGTCAAGAGGAAACGAGATGGGTAGAGCTCAGACACTGACGACATCCTTAGGCAATGCATCTTAATTTCACCTAAGGATGCTTGGACCGGCTGTCAAATTGGTCCGAATCGTTTCAGGTGGAATATGGATAAACTGTCGATGTTTACTGTACCGCTTATATTTGTGGTTCCCGTCGAGTGACTTTTCGTGTACCGAGTTATCCAGATGTTGTTTTATCGTACTACCCTATGCTTCGGGTGATCCGTTTGCAAAGCCTTTCTTTTTCCCCAATGAACCTTCATTATCTGAAACCGGGAGCGTCATCTAGCTGTTAGAGGGGCATATTATTTCATGACCATATTTACACTTGAATGTGATGGATTACTTCAAAGAAAGAACTGCGAGCACTGAAATTTTGGGTAATAGCATATCTGTAGATTTTATGGACAAGTTAGTCCACGCAGAGGCGAATGTCAATCACCGAAATCAACGAGCCTCGTTTGTCTGTTCGAACTGCGAAAACATGTTCGCTGCAAGAAGTGATGCACGATTTCTCCAAAATATCAATCAGCAAGACTAATTTTGTTTTTCGTTTGAATTAGGAAGATCGGTCTTTTGAGGTGAGACTATCTCAAAAAGTCAACAAGCCCATCCAGCAGATTTTGTCCTCCATTTCTGCATTTACTCCCTTTAACCTCAAAGAAAGACCTTCGGGAATAGAATCCAATCACATATACTTTTATTTGTAAATTCAAGATACTTGAAAAACTAGTGCAATTAGTCATTGTTGATGCTTACATTTAGTCACTGATGACAAAACAAAGTCGTCATCCGATGAAATGCTTTCCTTACAAAATAGTTGATTTGATTTTCGGACACCTTTTCCAACTGTAGATTTTCAGACATTCTCGTGGATTCCTCAAGTGACACATTACGAATTTCAACATCTGATAAACGAATTATATTTGGCCGATTCTCTTCCCTGTCCCAGTAAGAAAAATCGATAATAACTTTTGCTGACACATTTCGCAGCTGGAGCTTCGTGGTCGTAGCAAACCAAATTTGATAAAGATGCCCATTAAAGAATTCCTCCTAAAATAACGCAGAAAGTTGGAAAAGTTCAGCAAACCTGAACTCGTTCAAGTTAAAACTCTTCCGCGCTAAAACAATGTTGATTTCTTAGTAAGCATGGATTTCTTTCATCCAACTTACTGAGTGGCTCAGTGTAATCGTAATTGAGGGAAATTCCAGAGTGCAGGCATACTGAATGTAACTTGCGGGAATTATGTCTCGCATGAAGAAACACTCGAAAACAGAGGCTTTGGGTTCAATTTGCATTTTGAAGTCTGTGACAGAGACACCTTTGGGCTGGATAGAAGACTGGAGGATAGAAATTTTATTTACTAAGTGCTCCGCGACGTCTTTTAAGCTGAATGCGTCATCTCGACGTGGACACTGCACGTTATCTACAAGATTTGAAAACGATGACAGTTAGTATAAATAGAAGCACTCCAGATTTCAGAAAAACCTGTTGCGAAACATTGTGAAATATTAATGCAACTGAACCACATCAAAACGAGTTCTAGAGAGGACATTCAAAAGATAAATGGTGGTCGTTATTAAAATTGGGACAAATGAACATATAAAGAGACACTGAAACTAGACAGCACGTTTTAAGTCAAGTGAAATCGTGCTGAAGGGGTCCAATGAGATATCTGTGGGGGAAGAAATATAAAGGGATATTGAGATGAAGTGACTTTAAGTGTCCCTGTGAGACTTGCTCCTTTGTCGCTCTGAAAGTCGGATGCATTTGCACGCCAATTTCAAGCATGCTTTTCTTCTGTTCTGACAGAGTGTCACTGTCTACATGTAGGTCGTCTGCATATACCTGTACTCAATTAACGACGCCTAAAGATCATGTCCCTTCTTTTGCTTCATCCACGAGTGTTTCAGAAGATGACTGCACCAGAGGAGTTCAGAGTCTTGTTTGCTATGTAGAATAAACCTACCCCTAAACCAGGAGCAAGCTTTCAGTCGCACTATCAGACAACACAGCACGACAAGCAGCATGTGCATTGTGTCTTTAGGGATAGGAATGGAACGCGCACACAGTCCACTGTGCTTTTTATTATGCACACGCCGCTCAACTGTCTTACTTTTAATTGGACAGCCCGGTGAGTAGCTGTGAAGAAGGTCGCCGCCAGTAATTACAGTTTTCTTAACCGCAAATATTATTCAATTTTTGGCTTGGATTGAATCATAGCCACTTTCAATGCAAGAGGATGTGGGCGTATTTGTAGCACAACAACTGAATTCTCTAATGATGACAAACTGCTTTACTATGTTGTACGTCCAATGAACATAAGAAAATTCATTTATGCAAAAGTGTTTAGTCGGGACAGAAGAGATGCCGTGCTCCTCATTTTGGTCCTCACAGTCATTATTTTGTTGAAGTAGCATAGGAATGCTTAAAGGAGATTTGGTACATATTGTTATATTCAGGCTTAAAATAGAGCATCTGGTCACTTTCAAATATTCCTGCCCGAATTAGACCAGGGATAATTTGTCCATATCCCAATGCCTATAAACCGGTAAGGATTGAGTGTATGCGCGAGGTAGGAAAATTTCAACTGTTGTTTAACAAATTCGCCAGTGTTTAACCACTCGTGCTTTACTGGCAGACGTATGCAATCCATCTACCATTATTTCGAGTATTGTTTGCTACCTGACTTATCTCGGCGCCGAACTTTTAAACTGGGCTTTCTGCTTACTAAATAATTACGCGTGGGTTGTGTAGAACAATGAACCAATGTAGACAATTCAGCAGCGCCGGCAGGTCAGCAAGTGTCGTCCTGTCGAAGAAGGACTGACCAAAAGCTCTAAAAATATTGTAAGCAGTTCTCCATAGCTTTTCCTTACCCAACGCATATACTTAACTCGTACCTTCTTCCATCCGCGCTGAGTGGCAGTGCAGTTTGGTACCGGTTACCATTTGGCCACTCTTTAAGGTAGGGGCCAAAAACTCTGCAAAATAGCACCTTCTTTGAAAAATATACTAGTCGTCGCGTGTAACACTCGAGTTAACTTACATATTTAGTGGATATTTAGAAGATGTTTAATGAGGGGATACAGCGTGTGTGAGCGACAAGTCGTTCCATCAGACTGATGTGCGAGACGGGGATGACGCGCGTCATTAACTAACACCCACCTTTCGTATGGAGCCCACCGAAGCTATGCCCTGCTCAGTGGCAACAAACCGGTAGCCTCTCCGACCGGCGAGAGAAGCCAGATGAAGGTATCCAACAAGTGTGTGTTTTGTCCCGTGGTGTAGGGGTGTACAGTTCTTGGTCTAAGTGGAGGTCGCAATAGGTCCCTTCACTTGCTTTCAGTTGTTGGTAACGCCCAGCGTCTGTTAACTGGCACTCAACTCTCACATGCGGTTCCACGAAGCTGGGCTCCGTTTAGTGGCCACACACCAGTAACCTTCTGGAACAGCGGGCGAAGGCATGTAAGGGTCTCCGGTGTTACTTGCCCCCACACACGGCAACCCTGTTCCCTTCCCTTTCCTCCTTCCTCCCACCCCCTACCCGTTTTCTCATCCCCCTTCCATCACATCACAAAGTCCTACGGAGAGGGCAACATGCAATTCCGTAAGTGGTTTAGGCCAACTTGCGTCGCTCTCCACTAAACGAGATCGCGACGCCAAGTGGAGTTCGGCAACTACGTGAGATATCTAAGCAGCCCTATTTAGGGATAGCACTGCTTGCCCCCACGAGGGAGACGGGATTATAAAAGTTGCCCTAATTAAATGCAGGGCTCACGTCCTCTGCGCGCTGGCCGTAGTCGCAGACGCAAAACTCACGGTCGAAGCAACCAAATCCAAAACAAAAATCTCTTTCTTCCCCCTTCACTCCGCGGCCCCACCCCACAGGCTACTAGAACGAGTCTGCTCACCCTGGCAGCCTTGAATGTTCGTTCCATATTTAGACAATCCAAAGAACAACCCACCGGAACGAAGGACGACGCTAATGGCTCGGGCACTGGCGCGCCACAAGTTGGACATCGACGTACTCAGTGAGACCCGGTTCTCCGAACAAGGCCAACTAGAGGAGGTAGGTACCGGCTACACCTTCTTCTGGAGCCGCCGCCCTACGACAAAGCGACGAGATGCGAACGTCGCCTTTGCATCCGGAACGACATTGTGGGACGAATGCCCTGTCTGCAGCACGGCATCAACAATCGCCTGATGAGCCTCCGTCTGCCTCCTCAGTAAGGTAAATTCGTCAACATCGTCAGCGTCTACGCTCCCCGATAACCAGCCCTAGCGTGGCGAGGGACAAATCCTACGAAGACCTGCACGTCCTTCTGGCGACTGTGCCGAAGGCGATAAGTTGATTTTCCCTGGTGACTTTAACGCCCGCGTAGGCATAAACGATGCTGTCTGGAGAGGAGTGCTGGGTCCCCATTGTCTCGATGGCTCCAATAACAATGGTCTGCTCCTCCTACGAACCTGGACAGAACACCGGCTCGTCCTGATCAACTTCTTCTTCCGCATCCCGACACGAGAGAAGGCCACCTGGATGCACTCTTGGTCGCGACACTGACACCCGCCGAACTATGTCCTCATTTGGCGGCGCGACCGACAGACCATGCTGTTGACCAAGGCGATCTGCGATGCCGGTGCACTTGTTTAGGGTACCTTTTATAGTCATCTCCCCCTCGCGGGGGAAGCAGTGCTATCCCTAAGTATGGCCGCTTAGAAACCGCAGACGATTCCACTATGGGCTACAACTTTGTTTAGTGAAAGAACGACCTGAGTTAGCCTGGGCTGCCTACGTGATCGCTGTCACCGTAGAAATTTTTGAAATGGGAAAAGGAAGAGGGGGGACAAGAGAAGGGTAGATAGACGGGAAGCAGAATTTCCCGCCCCTCTCTAACCCAGCTGGTTGCTGGAATATAAGCGGTGAACAGACAAATTCAACGGAACCGTATTCATCAGAATTATATTTAGCTTACAACAAAGACAAGCAGTGCAAAGACAACAGAGCATGAGAGTGGAGTAGAGCAGAGAGTAGAGAGAGTGAAGTGTGAGAATGGG